TTTCTTTTTTGCTGTGAGGCATTGTTACTCCAGAGGAGAGGCTGCAATGTGACTGTTTTCTGGATGATGTTTGAGAGTTAGGGCAGAGAACCAGTTCCCAGCGTAAGGGTGGCCATACTGGCTGAGGGCACAGATCCTGCTAGCCTAGAGTCCTGTCTCTGGCAGTGTCAGTAGCAGATACCTGGGGAAGAGGACCAAGACAGGAAAATGCATAGTGGTAACTCTCCTTAAATATTCTCACTGCTTCCACCAGTTTGTGGCTCAGGGACTTCCAGAGACAGCTGTAGTAATTTTTGTGTTTGTCAAGTAAATTTGGGAAGGGAAAAGGAGGATAGATTTGTAACTAGATTCTGCTTTCAGCAAACAATTGCTGTTTTCGCAACTTCTCTCCATTAGTACAAACTCAGGAAACTTGAACAAACTGAAGCAAACCTCAGGGAATTATTCTTGCACTTTGGAGGAGGAGGGGCCTAGAGAACTGTGGGGGTGGTAGATGGGGATGGGATTGATTTGTGGAGGGAGTGTTTCTGGTGCTGTTAGCAATTTACAGATTTTTAATCTGAGAACGTCTCATATCCCTTATCTATAAACAGCTGAGGAGGATGCCGTGCGTGCAACAGAAAGGAGGGGCATGTGCACATCCTTTAGGTGTTACTGCTTGGTGGTGTAGCTGTTCCCCCATGGAAACAAGCAAATGTGTCTCAGCAGCATAGAGTACCTTTGGGCTTCTACGTCCAAGTCACAGCTCCAGTGACTAAAGTTGCCAAGTTATTGAACAGCAGCTTCTTTTGGAGAGGGAGAAGAGTGTGCAGAAGTGGGAATGGGGTGGGGAGAAATGGAAAAAATGCTGTCATAACTTACTAGTGAAAAGTTTCTAAATGTATTGTGCTTCTTGGAAGAAGTAATATTGCTGGTTTACAACTTGTCTCTGGGCTTCAGAGGAAAGTGTTTGAGTTACACACTGGATTAAGACAAAATATGACAGGGAGATGGAGCATAGAATATGTGATACAAAACTGAAGTTGTATCCTGACTTGCTCATAATTCAGTTCTGCTTTTCAGTGTATGTATTCATATGCACATGTTTAAAGTTTTGGTTTTATTATGTGTTAAGCTGTTTCAAGCAGGTTTGTAGCCCTGCAGGGAGATTCAGAGAGGCAAGGGAAAAGTGGATAGCTAGGCAGGATGAGGAGACAGATAGAACAGGCTTGTGTAAACAGGGAAGTGAGAAGACTGCTTCTGGGATTAAAGAAACATGGTAGAATAAGCAGACAGATAAATCGTGGCAATACTGCAATGAGCAAATTAGCAAACTGGCAAGTGAATCAGGGAGTAGTTTCTGGAGGATGCAAACTATCAGGCAAAACTAAACTGGCAATAGAACATTAAGACTAATTTAGAGAAAGTGATTAGAAGCTATAAAGGTGTTTTACAGGACAGCATTTAATTTCTTTTTTTTAGGAAAAAACACTCTCTACATAGTCAATTCTGTCCAAAAAGCCTTAGTTCATTGAAGCATTCTTCATAGAGAAACCATTCCATGCCATTGATCATTCTTCTCTCCCATTGATTTTTTTTTCTAATTCTAGTAATTTAGTTTCTTTTTCAAATACAGCCTGAAACTATACACAGTCCTGAAGATTCCTGTGTTGGGTATTTGTAAAAAGACAGCATGACAGCTTTAATTTTTACTCTCTGTCCATTTTTATTTTAATTCCTAGCGTTTTACTTCTGGGGGAATTTTGGTTGTGTTTCATTGAACAGTAGGATATTTTCAGAATCACTATAGTATTTAGAAGTAACTTGGAGATCTTATTCCTCACTTTTACAGTTCTCGTGTTTACATAATTTAAGCTGATTTTCTCTGGTTTCTGTGCAAGTTTTCACAAGGCAAGGTTAGAGGAAGAAAATTGTGTTAACAAAAAAAACCCCAAAACAATAGGGGAATAATAATATTATTAACATGGCATGTGCTTTTTTAAGTGCAGTTTTAAAAAAAAATTGTAGTACTGTTACTTTTTTTTAAACTCATGTGCCATTAAAATATATTATGTAAAGGTAAAACTGTATTTTGAAAGAATGTTCAGATTGTGATTAGTGATTTTTAAAACTGCTCCCCCCAAACCCAGACAGACCATGAAGTGTGACTCATAACTGCGAACTACATGCCAGTCACTCTCACCTCTGTGCCTGGCAAGATCATGGAGCAGAGCCTTCTGAAGGCTTCGCTAAGGCACATGGAGAAATGGGAACATGGTTGGTGGCAATCCACATGGCTTCACCAAGGGCAAGTTGAGTCTGATTTGGTGGCCTTTTACAATGGAGTCACAGTGTTGGTGGACAAGGGGACAGCAATTGATGTCATCTACCTGGATTTGTGCAAAGTGGTCAGTACTGTTCTGTGTGATGTCCTGGTCTCTAAATTGGAAACAGATTTGATGGATGGACCCCTCAGTGGATAAGGAATTGGCTGGATGGTTACACTCAAAGAGTTGTAGTCACAGGCTTGATGTCCAAATGGAGACGAGCAATGAGTGACATTCCTCAGGGGTTGGTATTAGGACCGGTGCTGTTTCACATCTTTGGCAACATGGACAGTGTAATAGAGCAAGTTTGCTGACAACTCCTAGCTGTGTGGTGTGGTTGTCAGTCTGGAGGGAAGGGAGGGACCTTGACAGGCTGGAGAGGTGGGCCCATGCCAACCTCATAAAGTTCAACAAGGCCAAGTGCAAGGTCTTGCACCTGGGTGAGGGCAATCCCAAGCACAGATACAGGCTGGGGGGAGAATGGATTGAGAACAGCCCTGAGGAAAAGGGCTTGGGGGTGTTGGTTGATGAAAACCTGAACGTGAGCCAGTAATGAGAGCTTGCAGCCTATATAACCAACTGTTTCCTGAGCTGCATCAAAATAAGCATGACCAGCAGGTTAAGGGAGGCTATTTGCCCCCCTATACTCCGTTCTCGTGAGACCTCAGCTGGAGTATTGTGTCCAATTCTGGACACAGAACACAAGAAGAATGTGGCCCCCACCACAAGAAGAACATGGGCCTGTTGGAGCGAGTCCAGAAAAGGGCCACAAAACTGAGCAGAAGGCTGAAGCACCTCTCCTATGAAGACAGGCTGAGAGAGTTGTGGCTGTTCAGCCTGGAGAAGAGAAGGCTCCAGGGAGAACTTATAGCTGCCTTCCAATACCTGACGGGGCTACAGGAAAGCTGGGAAGGGGCTTTTTACAAGGGCTTGTAGTGAGAGAACAAGGGGTAATGGTTTTAAACTGGAAGAGGGGAGATTTAGGCAAGACATTACGAAAAAATTCTTTAGTGTGAGGGTGGTGAGACACTGGAACAGGTTGCCCAGAGAAGCTGTGGCTGCCCCTCCCTGGAGTGTCCAAGGCCAGGTTGGATGGAGCTCTGAGCAACCTGGTCTAGTGTGAGGCATCCCTACCTGTGCAGGGGGGTTGGAACTAGATGATCTTAAAGGTCCCTTCCAGGCCATATGATTCTATCATACTTTCACTGCATGTGTATGCAGATGTGTTTAAGGTAGGATGCAGCTTTTCCCAAACATGGGCAGGCTAACAGATAGTATGTTGAGGAGCACCAATGAAAAATGCCTATTTCAAACTTGTGTTTTGTTACAAGGTGACTAATTTGTGTGATACCATGAAGAACATATTTAATTCATAGAATCAAAAAATCATTAAGATTGGAAGGGACCTTAAAGATCGTCAAGTTCCAACCCCCTTGCCATGAGCAGGTAACCCTACCACTAGATCAGGTTGCACAAAACCTCATCCAACCTGGCCTTAAAAACCTCCAGGGATGAGGCATCAACAGCCTCCCTGGGCAACCCATTCCCATTCCTCACCACCCTTGTAGTGAAGAATTTCTTTCCAATATCTAACCTAATCTCCCCTCAGTTTAAAACCATTACCCCTTGTCCTATCACTGTCTTCTCTGATGAACCTCTTAGTGCAAGCTGAGCCACTTTACAGTAAATCCTTTCAGGTAAGTAATCCTTTCAGGGCATGTAAATAATACATTTTCCAGAAAACCATTACCTGCTACTGGTATTGCTGACAAAGTAACCACCATACTTGTAAGCCTGTTGCTGGATACTTCGGTAGGGATCAAAAAATAGTAACCAGTTCTGAAAAGGGGTTGGTAAATATTTTAAATCTCTCTGGTAATTAAAAATGTCTTGAAGAGGTTATTAAACCATTAAGTTATGGTTACATTATTCTTGCAAGCAGACATTTTGGTTAGTTCTAAGTGCCTTTTTGCAGTAAATAGTGAATTCTAAACTTAAAAAAAACCAAGGTGATGTGTTTAATAATAAGAAAGTGTTGCTTAATCACAGATTTCTTACTGATATGGTTGTTAAATATTAGCAAAAAGGAGCTTTGACAGCTGCTTGTTCTCCAATGTTGTTTTTTTTTAATCTGAAGAATTTTAATTGAGAAAGAAATAAAGTTCAGTTTTGCCCTTTTATTCTTGTTGTAGTTCAAAGCCCCCATATTGAGCTCCATCATTCTTTTTGCTGAAATAGGATTGACCTGGCTTCTCTGGTGTTTAGTCAGTACTGCCTGGTATTGGCTCTGGATTCAAGGTTACAAATCTTGGGCATAACTGAATCAGCTCAAATGCTGAAAATGGCCAGTTTTGTACAAGTATCATCAGGAGCAAACACTAAACAAGCCCTTGTTTCTCACTGCAGGATGTACAGAGTCTGTCTTCTTATATGGGGAGGAATGAAGTGAGATGGCAGATATTTTTCATACATGAGTTACTGGGCTTAAGTCAGTTCTTGTGTGAGCTAGAATTAGAATCCTGTGATAGAAGAATACATTTGATTTTTATCAATCAACCAACAATCATATATCAGTGTAAATAAAGTAAAGATGGATGTATTATGGGACAGATGGCAGATAATGTTATTCCACCATCTTGCAGTTACTGTTTCAGATCTGTACTAATTTATTTTATTCTCTGTATTTGATTTCAGAAGAAATAATGCAGGTGACAGAGAGAAGGCACTACAAGTTATGCTTCAAGTCCTACAAACTTGTGATCACCCTGCTCCAGATATGTTTTGCTTATGTGGGAGGATCTACAAAGATATGTTTCTTGATTCTGACTGTAAAGACACCAATAGCCGAGATCATGCCATTGAATGGTAACAGAACAAAACTCACCAAAATCTCTATTTAAAAACTATTTCAGACTTTTACTTCTGGCTAGGAAAACTGTGAGAACTGGCTAGGCTGTGAGAACTAGAAGATTAAATATTCTACTTGTTCTGTCTTTTTTTTCAGGGTCCTGTTTGTGTAATTTGTTTACCGAGCACCAGTTCTTTGGATATGTGTTTCCTTGCTTCTCTTTATAGACCATCACAAATATGGAATGATGCACATAGTTTATTGGGGGTTATACTCATCTACCTCTTTGCAGAGAAAATATACAGTTTATCTGCTTCATGGCCAAAATGAAGTGCAGGTGTGGTCATAGGAATTACATTGGTCCTCTGTGCAATGATCCCTAGGAAATTCAATTATCTACTGAATATAAGAAAAAATATTGATAAACTGCATTATTAATCTTAAGACAGTAAGACATGTCTGTACACACAGGCTCTTGCTGACATACTGTTCACACATGGATTTTTGTGTAATCATAGAGACCACTGCTGAGTGCGGTAACTTTAGCAATGGGTGGTTTGTATTATAACTGTGAAAATACCTCTATCTGTCTTATTTTCCTCCCCCAAATCACCTCAACATGCTTAGTGCACCATGGGTAGTAGTGACCTCAAAGGCTTCATATGGATCTCTTTATTCTGCACCAGCTGGGGGCATGCATTCAGCTGTTGTCTGTCTCTCAGCTACCTTTAATGAACACGAAGCTTTAAAACAAAGGGCTTGGATTTTGGTCTTTTTGTAAAACACACCAAAGACTAATATTTCTGTTGCTTCTCTCATATAAATAATACATTAAAATGATGTTCTATTACATTTAAGAGCTCTGCAGTAACTGGTTTTAGTTTCACAAAATCACTCAAGGTGGCAAGATGCGTAAAGCTAAGCAGAAGTTTTTCTTTCTCTCCATAAGACAAAAAGCTACTTTCTTTCAAGTGCTCTTTGCAAAGAGTGCTAGTGGTATCAATTAGCCATATAGTCCTTACAGTAAATTAATAGCTTAAAACACCTACCAAAATGTTGTATTATTGCAGTTCTTTTATATAATGAGATGTGAGCTCTTGACTCTTCTCTGCAGGTATCGCAAAGGGTTTGAACTCCAGTCAACTCTGTATTCTGGAATTAACCTTGCAGTTTTGCTGCTTGTTGCAGGACAACAATTTGAAAGCTCAATGGAACTAAGAAAAATAGGTAAATATCCACACAGTGCCACAGCCTAGTTTTCTGCCCCCCTCCCTGTGAAGAAAACAAAATGCTTATGGCAATGGGTTACACAGACAGAAAGGCAGTTTAGGCTTTTTAGTTGGCAGATCCTGGATGGCAGTCTAAAGCACAGGGATCTTGAAAGACGATTTTTCTTCTTGTTGCCTTGGAGCAGCTTTCTACTAACTTGGTCTATCCAAAGGGTCCCTGAAATGGGAGAGGAGCATGGAGAGACCAGCTCCAGCACCATGTGTGAACTGCCTTACTGCACAACAGAGATTATCGCATTGCGTTGTCAACAGGGAGCAAAAGAACAAGTGACACTGTGTGACCCAGCTCTCCTCAGAGATGCCAGAGAAGGACCCACAGGTTTTCTTTTGTCTCTGTACTGAGGGATTCACAGGAATATCACCTGGATGGATCTACCAGAACAGTAGCAACTAGTTGTCTACCCTTCATTGTGAGGGTAACAGAGCACTGGGACAGGCTGCCCAGAGAGGTTGTGGAGTTTCTCTGAAGCCATTCAAAGACCATCTAGACACATTCCTGTGTGATCTGCTCTAGATGATCCTGCTCTAGCAGGCGGTTGGACTATTTGATCTTCAGAGGTCCCTTCCAACCCCTACCATTCTGTGATTTGCATCTTCCATGTAGGTGCTCACTAAACCCCACTGCTCTACATCCATAAGTAAATCATATGATAGAAACAGATATACAATTCTTCCTAGAAATATAATAGTTCAAAATTATATTTGGAATCAGATCCTGTATGAAACTCATGCTTGAACCTTAAAGGGGAAGAATGCAAAGGTGGCTTTAAATCATTCTCCTGCCTCTGGGGTGGACGTGTCTAAGCCTCTAGCCATTGATCTCTTACAGTAGATGCAGGTCTCGAGGATGCAAAGATCTGCAGCTTATGCTGAGCATCAGGAGGCAGACAGCCCAGACAGACAGCACATCATTTTTTTCAACACTATGTGTAGTAGGAGTTCTGACTGTCTGAACTGTATTTGGGATGTTATTTGCAGACTCAGCCTCTGTGCTGTGCAATTAAATTTTTTTTTTTCTGAGGAAAACTTGAACTCTTTATTATCAGTAATCAAGTGTTATTAGTCTTTTACTGATAGACTTGCCAGTAGAAAAAAAAAACAACACACTAGCTTTTTACTGATAGAAAAATATGTTCTTTAATTGAAATTTTACAGGTGTACGGTTAAACAGTTTATTGGGAAGAAAAGGAAGCCTGGAAAAAATGAACAGTTACTGGGATGTGGGACAGTTCTTCAGTGTGAGCATGCTGGCTAATGATGTTGGTAAAGCAGTACAAGCAGCAGAGAAACTTTTTAAGCTGAAACCTCCAGTATGGTATGTGGTAGAAGGCTGTAGCTCAAGTACCCAACAATGGGGAAATACACAGAATTAGAAAGTCTTGTAGACACTTCTGCTGAATTTTTCCATCTTAGATTGTTTGTAACTTTACCTTTATACTCTGTTCTTTTGTTTTGGGAAAGAAGGGAGAAGGTAAGAAATCGTTACCCATCAGTGTTGGGTTTAGATCACATTGAAGCATATGTTTTATAGGAAAGATTTTGGAAACTGGTGATGATTCCTTGTGAAACAATTACAAAAAGGTTGTGAAAATGTTCTTTTCAGAGTTTAGCTAGCTGCTGCTTCCCTCCCCCACCATCATCCAGTTTATCATGTCTAATTGCCACATAACTATACACATTTGCAAGAAGACATTCTTCATTAAAATCCATTTGAACGTGTGACTTAAGGTTTTGACTAAACTTGCTGTTCTCTCCAGAAATCTGTAAAATTCAACTCAATAACTTCTGTTACAGAAGCTTTTAAAGTACATTTAAACTTTGTAGTTAATTTTTGTTACTGTATAAGTCAGTTAAGTGCTTTTAGTGTCTGATTAATTTTTTTTTTCCTCTCTGTTAACTCATTAATTCAATGCATTCTAGGTATCTGAAATCATTAGTTCAGAATCTGATGTTAATTCAGCGTTTCAAGAAACTCACCATAGAACATTCTCCTAGACAAGAAAGATTGACTTTCTGGCTAGATATAATTTTTGAGGCAACAAAAGAGAAAACTAATGGACTGCGATTTCCAGTAAGATGTTATGTCCAAACAAGTTTCGTGTGTGTTATGTTTCTGGATAGGATATAGTAAGAATTGAAAGATTCTAAATACAATACTTAAATACTTAACTGCCAGTTATTTCATTGCGTGAGCCAGAACCCTGTATTCTGCTAATGTTTACCTTTTTAAAAAACATTTAACCTACCACCCTAAAAGCATTCTAAGAAATACTCTTTAAGTATCCTACAACAAATCATGCTGATACCATTTTGTTGTACATAGGAACACGTTTTCTTCCTTGCCTTGTCTTGTTGCCCTCTATCTCTCCCACTGGAAATTTTTTAGGTCTTACTTTGAAATTACTCATCTGTTTCAGAGCAGTAGTTATTCTCAAGATACTATCATGCATTAGCTGCTGTTTTTTAAAGAAAAAATGTGCTCTCTCTCTTCAGGTTTTGGTGATAGAACCAACTAAAGTCTACCAGCCTGCTTATGTTTCAATCAACAATGAAGCAGATGAGAGATCTCTCTCTTTGTGGCATGTGTCTCCTGCTGAAATGGTAAAGCTACCTGCAAATGTGTTTAATGTGTTCTCGTTCACTGTGCTTAAAGTAGCTTTTTCACATGTAGGTTTTGGAGCACTTTGCAATCATTTAAGGTTTGCTACATTTCTGTGAAGCAATCCTCAGTATCTCTTATGTGCGGATGTGAAAGTTGACTTCTTACAGAGAAAGTAAAAGGAGGGACTATGATTAAAACAATGATTTTATCTCAAGTTCAGATTTCACTTGTTTTGACTATGTCTTAGAAGTGCCTGGGTTATTTTTCATAATATTTATCGTTAGAATTTTGTGGTGTTTATTAAGTTACAGCTCAAATCAAGATAAAAAGTAAAGATAAAGCCTAGTACTGCATTTAATGTTGTAGAAATTTTAGAATTTGAAAGTAGAGATTTTTTGTTAAGATTTGAAACTAGAAAAAAGGGCAGCTTGTGACAAATAAATGTCAAGAGATAAAATATTTGGTACCTTGTATTACTGGGTAAGGCACAGGAGATCAGGAAAGGAGTAGACACAGTTATAGGCAGTCTAATCTCTTAAAAGTGAGAAATAATTTCAGTTTCACATTGAAATCCGGAATGTCATTCCCCACCCCTTCTAAATATCAGACCGATACAGGTAACTAAAAATGGAGAGAGGCAAAGTGTGGAAAAGAAGCACAGTAGAGCAAGAGAAGACCACACAATTACCTGGATCTATGAACTTCATTTCCAATACATGGTTCTGCTTCACTACTTGGAGTGGAAGTGTCTGACACAACTTTTCTTTATGTAACCAATTCTTGCTGCATATCTGGCAGTGCTAAATAAGATCCAGGTATTAGCTTAAGATTCATGGAGAGCTAAGTTTCTAGGCACAGCCTGTCCTTCCTCTGTTCTGCCTTCAGTGTGCTGCCTAGGCCAAAGCTGTTGGCTCAGAACCTCTTAGGAAGATGTGTGAAATTTACTTTCCCTTCAAGCCTTGATAAGAGTAGGGCATAGTCTGCTCCATCTTTAATATGAAATATTGATGTATTGAGTAAAACCTTAATGTTCGGTAAATTTTACTTCAAGGTTTATTCTTCACATTTAATTTTACATGAGGAAACGTGACCTTTATTTGCACCCTGTGCCATTTATATGATCTTTTCCTCAAGTGAGTAAAATAGAGATATATGGCCTTTCTTCACCTATACATCAAGTTTATTTGGAATTTGAGCAGAAAGAAAGGAAAAGAAACACGTTGGGAAAACTTTATTTTGCTTACCATTCCATGACTTTGTTTTCAGTAGTAAGTCATGGTTAAACTGTGGTTGTTTACAGCTCTTTGTTCTTTACAGAAACAGATTCATGAATGGAATTTTACAGCTTCTTCCATTAGGGGAATAAGGTCAGTATGTCTGAAAATGGTTAAGTGTTTTTTTTGTTTTTATTTTATATTTCAGTTAAATGAGAAGTCTGGGTTCTGCCTTAAATTTCTGCTTTGCACTGGCTTGTTCTGTCCAACCTGCCTTGAAATGTCAACACAGAAGAGTTTACCTTTCCATGCATAGTCACTCATCTAAGGTGGGGGGGTGTGAATATGTGTGTTCTATGGTAAACTTCCTGTTTTTCAGTTGTGTACCTGCTTTTTTTTTTTTTTTTCAGTGAAGTTATTGCTGTCTCTGTATTTAAAAACGTAGAGGGCAGGAGGAAAGAAGAGCCCTTGGTTCTTCTTGCTTCCTTCCATAAAGGAAGAGAGAGTAAAAAAAAATAAAATTTGGGATTATTTGGAATTAACAACTGCAAAATACATGACTACATTTAGAATCTAATTTATATCTCTTTAGTTGGGCCACTGGCTGCCAGAAAGGTGAGCGATAGAGCACCAGGAGAGAAAACAAAATTAAACCCGTCTGTTCAGCCCAGCAGTGTGTCCGTGGCATTCTTGCTCTCTGCCTGTGTTATGCAGGCTGTAGCTAAGTAACAGAGTAAGCACAGGGAACATGAGGTGGGTTTTTGCCTTCTCTCTGAGTTCATGAGTCCCTGCTTTGGTGGATCCTGTCTTTCCAGGGACATAAATGGCTGGGGCCACTTGTGTGAGTGCAGAAGCTCAAGTGCTTGAAAAACTTTCTGATTCTGGTGCAAGCATAAATTCAGATACATAGTGACCTCTGTAGTTCTCAAAGCAGGGGGTTTCTGGGCTTTGGTTTTGACCATAAGCATCTAATTTTTAGGTTCCAAGTTTGTCTTCTCTGAACTTTTATTAACAAGATAAGCTTAGGGAAAAAATATTTCTCTGAAAAAGGTGAGTGGTGATTGCTATGAAAGCCTGCAGTTGTGGACTTTGACATAAATACTGAAATTATGGTAGAATCTTCTTCTAAAAGAAGCATCTTTTGATTTAAATTAATTCAATTTAGTATTATTTTACTACTTCAGTGCAACGTGAGTGGATGTGAAGTTTGTAATCACTGAAGTGGGTGGAACTGACTCAGCATAACATTTCTGAAACATTAATTACTTTCAGTCAACACATTGCACAGGAATTAATGTTTGAGGTGGATAGCTTTTAATTAGATAGAAGCAAGCAATTAATTTGCTTCAATTCTTAATCACTGCTGGGAATTACAAAGCTCAAAGAGGCAATCTTTTTAAACTTGGTGTAACTAAATGTTTGCTTTGTATGTGAAAACTTACAGTTGATATGCTTTTGCAGTTGAATTAGTTTTAGTAAAAAAATATTAGTGGTTGCAGTCAACTTAAACTCTGTCAAACTCCTTAAATTGTGTTTATACTAACCAGTTCAGCTTATATAGCACATGGATTACACTGTTCATCCTACAATGCTTTTATTTCGATAGTGTCTTCTCTATCCTATTTGCCCTTGGAAGACAGGCAAATTTGCCCTTTGTTTCTTGGTTCTCATGTCAGGTTAATCGACTTTGCTACACCAGAAACTGCTATGCCAGAACCAAGCTGCAGATTGGCATAGTGTTTTTTCACTTTATTTGTTGGGGAAAAAAAAATAATCTCTTGGCAAATTTCTAAGTTTTTGGAACATTTGTCCATGTAGCCCTTAATGATGCTGCAGCAAGGTGGTCTTGCAACATTCTGCAACTTTATTATAGTCTACTGTCATGTATTTTAACTAACTGGCTCAAGAGAGGCGAAGCAAAACCTGAGAGTTTGATTAAACAGATAAGGCAATTATATAATCAATTTTTTTTTAATTTAAGGCACAAAAATAATGACAGTACCCTAACAAGAGTAACAACTTGGCATTTATGTAGAATAATACTAAAGCACGAGTGTTTGGAATTGTAAGAGATTGATTCCTAGGTTTACTTTCCTAATGATGCTAGTTTATGGTCTCTTCACTTTTTGCTTCAGTGCATTTAGATGGGATGTGTATTACAGTGGCAAGGCACAATATGCAATAAATAATCACTTTGTCAGAATTATCGCTGCAGTTTAGAGTAAATATTGGTCATCCCAAAACCTGTTTATCACTATAAAGGCCATAAAAATTATATACAGTGACAGGTCTGCTACACTGTAGGTATTTTCTACAGTTTTACTGTACGAGTAATGGAAATTCAAGAAGCAGAATTACTTGTCAAGATTAAAAGGAAGGTTTTCCTGATAGCTAAACTAGTGTCTAAGCAATTAATTTTCCATAGAGGTGTAATCATACTGAGAAATCTTGGCAGAACAGCATAAAAGTGGAAGGGGAAGCAAACAACAAACAACTCTCTAAACAGTTCAGGTATCATAGTCATATAATAGAATGCCAGGTTGGAAGGGACCTCGAGGATCATCTGATCCAACCTTTCTAGGTAGGAACACAGTTTAGATGAGTTGGCCCAGGACCAGCTGTGTCTTAAGTGTCCAGTATTGGGGAACCCATGACTTCTCTGGGGAGAGTATTCCAAAGTCTGACTGTTCACATTTTCTTCTTGATGTCCAATCAGGAATTCCCCAGATAATTATGTATTTTATCAGATTAAGCAGTAGTTTAATAATTTAGCAAGCTGGAAATAATATTATTGAATATATGAATAAACACAAAGCTTCTAGTTGTAAGGAAAATTAATATAAATGCATACTGAGGTAATATTTCTCTGAGGTAATAACTATATTATATATATATTGCTATATTATATATAGATAAAAGTGTTTGTAATTCAGAAAAATGAATTCCTTCTTGCTCTATTTCTTCTAATAGTTACATCCCAAATAATATTTTCTTAATATGAATTTCACAGCATTTCCAAATTTGATGAACGATGTTGTTTTCTTTATGTCCATGACAACTCTGATGACTTTCAGATCTACTTTTCTACAGAAAACCAATGCAGTAGGTGAGTTCATTTGGGGGGGGGAGGGGTTGCATTTGAGATCTAGGTCTCAAATAGAGTGATTTAGGGAAGATTTAAAGCTGACATTTTTGTTTGAGAAAATATTTCTTTATTTCTTCCCTTCCTTTTTTCTTGATGAGAAAGCAATGAGCTAAATGCAGTGTTCTTCAGGTGATGAGAGCAATCTCCTTGTTGGTTGGTTCTGGTCAGTTTACCTACAAGTCACTAGGTCTAAGAAAAGCTTTAAGTAGCTTGTTCTAATTCTTAACTATTTTCTTCTTTTTCTTTGTTTTTGCCATGCCATGTGAGGTACCATATTGGTTTAGATTTCCTTATGTACCTGTTGAGTTTGATATAAGTTAGAATCACTAGATATAAGAATTTCTAGTTTGTAGTGTGTCACAGGTATCTTTTAATGTGTGCACCTATATTCAAATACTTCCTGATGATACGTTGTCTTTAAATAGTAAGAATGCTAACTCAGTTCCCGACCTGGATCTTTACAGACCAGGTTTTTTTCTGGGGATTGATATTTGGCATATAAACCTTATAAATGAAGTAAGAATTATTTTTAATACACTTAATACTTGGAGTTGGATGGTATATTTCTTTTTCTTGCAATTATTACTATTTATGTATTATGTGGAATAAACTCAGGTTAAAAAAAATTGCTAGGTCTGCAGAATGCAGTGTGTAAAATATAGAAAAAAACAAAAATAATGTTACCTGCTCAGCCTTAATTTGACATGGCAATTTGTGTTATGAAAAATGGTCATATTTATTATGCCTTGTTCAGTGCACAACAGGATACTTACTGTTCCAGAGGTGTGTCTGTTAGTCAGTGAAAGAGATGAGAATATTTTATAATAATTTTTAATAATGGTTAACTTTTTGTTATGCAATTTGGAAAAAAGTGAGTGGCTCAGGCCTGAGTGACTACAGGAAACCATGGTCTTATACTTAAGGATCTCCAACCCAGAAAACCAGAAGAAATTAATCAAACATCTGTTCTTCAAAACGGTTACTAGATTTGTTTTCTTGGCTTTCTGGAAACCACAAAATCTAGTTTTCTGAAATATTGAGTAATCACAGTTGCAACTGAAGTCCACAGGATCATTTAAATTAAAAGTAAAGGAATAACATACTCCTCCCTATCCAAAAGGAGAACCACCCAATAGGAAGTTTCAAACTTAGCACTACTGAATTGAACCACTGAAAATCAATACATATTTTTTTAGTATCTCAACTTTTACTCTTAATTGTATTTGTTAAGACAAGGCCATACTAAGCACTTTCCTTCAAAGTATACAGGTGCACAGCAAAAAGATTTAAGTTTGTTCTACCAAGATTTTACTATGCAACTACAAGGAAGTACAAGGAAGTTCTGTTACACAACATAAAATAATTTCCTAAATAATGAGGCTTATCAGTGTGTGTTTGATGTTCTTCCTCATTTAAAAATACAGACATAGAAAATAATGAAAGAAACCTATGAACATGATAGTCAGTTTATTAGCTTGAAAGCAAAGCCCACCTTGTGAAGAACCTGTTTAATCTCCTTCCAAAAGGATTTATTTTCTTTGATCCTATGCTATTTGTTGCTTTTTTAGATTCTGTGCGTTGGTGAAAGAAATTTTGTCTGATGCAGTTGGCAGTACTTTGGAACTAGAAGGAGAAATAGATGGAGACACACTGGAGGTATGTCAAGGATAAAAGATCCAAGAACTCTGAAGCTTGTTCTCATTCTTCCCTGCACTTTAATATCAGTATGCTAGAAAGATAATAAATAGCATTTCAACTCTTAAATTGTATAATGAAATTTGAACTCTTACAAAACTATTTGTACATAAGAGTTGCATTCATTTGAAAAAACATATTTTAATAAAGTGAGCCTGTTACTACTGTAAATTGCATATATCCCTAGTGAAGGGTGTTACTGATCTTGTATTTATGTTGCAAACAATCTATAGATGAGAATCATCTGATACTAGTTGTCTTAAGTAGATATAAAAGATATCAAATAAATTCTTGGAAAAAGCCATTTAGTGAAGATACTTCAGTTTTAATAGTAATCAGCTACATTATTACAACTCCAGGTAATTTCATTTAACAGATGTTTTCTGTCACAGAGGTTTGCAGGTATTTAGGATCAGATTGATCCATTGTGCTTTTGACTGATCACAGTAACATCCGTGTTGGAAACCTAGTGACTGTAGCCTTTCTTTATAGTCAGTACAACAGAGAGGAGGAGAGGAAAGGCAACTTGGAAAGGGTTATTTACGTTTTATGTGAACTCAGGTAGGTGAATCCACATCTTCATAAGACACACTACCTCATAACAAATGTCTAGATTTGTAGCACTAAGGACATTTCTTGTGCTTATGTTGACATTTTTAACGTGAAAAACAGTCATAAAAATGAGTTGTAACTTTTATTAGTTGGTCAAGCAAATTCAGTGAATCCAATTAATGAGTGTAAAAACCCTACTGTGCTTTGTTTGAGCTGGGTATCTTTCTGACTGTCTCCTTCCAGCAATTCTTTTAGACTTAGGATTGAGAGAAGCTCTTTAGGGTGGTGAACCTTTTGTTGCACCTGAAGCTTCAGAAGAGAATTAGGAAAGTAGAAGATCCTTTACTGTACCATTGAATGTAACTGCATATAGTAGGGAGAGGAGTTTTTGCACTGAAGTTTGTGTATAGTGGCCGCAGGATGCTCTCCTCAGGTGAGAAGGACCAGAGAGGCACATCTATTAAGCACAGCTTAATACAGGCATCCATGGCCTGGGCCTAGGATCAGGGCTCTGCCTGGGCAAAAACAGTCTATAGGTTTATCTGTAGCTGTAGATTTTACATGACATACTTATGTACTTAGTTAATCACAGGGCAATCTCCAAAAAAACATCCTCTATTCAAATGCATAACAGTCTCTCATAGGAAGTGAGCTCACTGTGGCTTGAGCCTTTTGAAAACTGAACTGCAAGAATCACCTGAGAATGCACAGCAAGAAACAATCCTGCATGAATCAGTGATGTAGGAAGAAATGACTATGGAAATTAATTTTAAATCTTTACGCTATATCATCTTGAAGTCTTCACAATTATCACCTTGTACTTCCTGTCTTAAGTCAGGACATTAAAACAGGAATCAAGATACAGAAAGGGGAAGATGGAATTGTTTAGCTTATAAATGAGCTAAGACACTTGATGTCTTTCTGCATCATGGGATCTTACATTTAAGAAGAGACAACATGGAAAACACAGCTTTGTATGATCTTGATGGTGGGCTTGACAAGTGCAGAGAAAACAGAAGTTCTTAGCATTAATAAAGCAACTGTTTATATTTGGGGAAGAGGAAGAAATAGCCTTGAGCACAGATTGACAGAAGAAAATATTATTTCAGTCAGCATTATTATGAGAATGTTTTTCCAAGGGGTTATGCATTTGGGATTGTAGTATTATTTGAAAGCAACTACAGTTTAATTCTACAGCTGTCTAGGATTTGGAAGAGTGAGTTTTGCAGTCCTTTATACCTCAGGGTAATTGATTCTGGATATTGATATTGAAGAAGTTCCTACCACTTTGAGTACTGGCTGTACCTCAAATGGGATATCCTAGAGATCCCACTCTGCCCTACTGCCTCCATACAGAAGGTCAGCTACAAACACTTCTTTACTCATCCCTAATGGTTGAATTGCACATCCAGTGGATCACATATTCAGACTTTCTGCAACTAACTGTGATTTATTCAATCTTTGTAGCTGTTGGAAAGAGAGGAGGGAAATGTGAAGAGGCGTTAAGTGTGTACAAGTCTATTAGACTCTCTACTAACCAGCATTGAACTAAAATTGCAATGATTTCCATATATCATGGGGCACAGACTAGAGAACACAGGTTTCTCCACAGTAATGAAAGAATTGGCTTGGTACCAGTCTGTTGCAGATAAGATTGCTGTCAATCTTAAATTTTGCAGTGTGACTTCTGTCTTTTTTCTACACCATTTTATATCACCTGATAGCTCTAGAAGGAGGATATGCTCCTACCAAAGAACCTGAGAAGTTTACATATGGTGTTTTGGGTCAGTTATGTCTATCATATAACAAGATCATGTTATGAACCATAAAGTGCTGGAACGTGAAAATGAAACTGTACTAAAGCTTTGCTAACTCCAGTTTAGTTCCACTGAGCCGAACATGCTGTTAGGATAAACGACAGACATTTTTTCTTTAGCACCTTCTATACAGCAGCTGAAGCTTGTCATCTTTGCTGAGGTGAAGAGGGGGACTGTCAGTGACACATGGACATTGCAGTACCAAAGCTAAAATATGAACTGGGAATACACTTCAAAGAAATAGATCTCAAGGTTCTGTTGTGTATGAAAGAGTCTTATTGGATGAAGCAGAAAAAGTGGTCATTGACAGAAAAGTCAGTAGTTATGGCCATTGTAAAAAGGTTTGTTTGGTTGTTTGGTTTGGTTTGTTGTTTTTTTTAAATTGAGAATTACTAGGAAGATACAGAGAATACCCTCCAGTTCTCCCATATGGAACATCCTCTTGGATTTGAATCAGGGGTGTGCTGCCTAACCCAAATTCCAAAGGAATTTAGGATTATTTTGTGTCTGGGATATACTTTTGTATATCCCCCCAGAGATCAGTACTGGACCCAGTTCTATTCAACATCTTTATTGATGACCTGGATGTGGGGATTGAGTCCACCCTCAGTAAGTTCAAGGATGACACCAAGCTTGGGGGAAATGTCGATCTGCTGGAGGGCCTGGACAGGCTGGGTCAATGGGCTGAGGCCAATGGCATGAAATTCAACAAGACCAAGTGATAAGTCCTGCACTTTGGCCACAATAACCCCCAGCAGTGCTACAGGCTGGGGGAAGAGTGGCTGGAGAACAGCCTGGCAGGGAGGGACTTGGGAGTACTGGTTGACAGCCAGTTGAACATGAGCCAGCAGTGAGCCCAGTTGGCCAAAAAGGCCAATGGAACCCTGGCTTGTGTCAGGAATAGTGTGGCCAGCAGGAGTGGGGATGTGATTCTCCCCCTGTACACAGACCTGGTGAGGCCTCACCTTGAGTCCTGTGCCCAGTTCTGGGCCCCTCACTGCAAGAAGGATGTTGAGGTGCTGGAGCAGGTCCAGAGGAGAGCAACAAGGCTGGTGAAAGGACTAGAGGGAAAGTCTTACAGGGATAGGCTGAGGGAGATGGGGTTGTTCAGCCTGGAGAAGATGAGACTCAGGGAGGAGATAATCACTCTCTTCAACTACCTGAAGGGAGGTTGCAGTCAGGTGGGGTCAGGCTCTTCTCCCAGGCAGCTAGTGACAGGACAGGAGGGCATGGCCTGAAGCTGAGCCAGGGGAGGTTTAGGTTGGGTATTAGGAAGCACTTCCTCATGGAGAGGGTGATTAGACATTGGAATGGATTTCCCAGGGAAGTGGAGGCACCATCCCTGGATGTGTTCAGGGAAAGGCTGGATGTGGCACTTAGTGCCATGGTCTGGCTGAGGTGGTGGTGTTGGTCATAGGCTGGACTTGATGATCTTAAAGGTCTTTTCCAGCCTTGGTGATTCTGTGATCATTCTTTAGTAGGTTTTTCACTGACCTTTACAGTAGGGCAGCTCTGTGTTAAGATCACCATATAAGGCAAGACCACAAGGTGGTATAAATTAGTGTAGCTTTACTGAAGTCAGTGAACCAGCAGTGACTTACTCAGGTGGCAGTATGACCCAGCACAGTTTCAGCAGCAGGGGAAACCACCACTTCATACATGTAATCATCCTTGGAGAAGATGAGCAATTTTTTTTCACCTTTTGGAAAAGCTCATAATGAGGGCAATAGGTCAGAAAGTGGCTAAGATAAAATGAGTGTTTAGGATCTGAAAACAGTGCCCACTCACTGGAATGAGAATGTGACATTCTGTTCAAACCATTGGTTTCAAAATTGTAAGTTATGTTCTATATATTTACATATTCTGAAGGCTCAGTCAGGAATTCTTAGAGATGACAACTGAATGTGTTCTTTTGACAACACTGTTTCATTGAATTTGGTTTATTCAGGGAATTCAACCTACTGGTGTGAATGCATTTGAAAGCTGATTAGGGAAGATTGGTTTGTAAAGCAAGTAACATGGAAATTTACAAGAGGTATAATGTGCCAGGCAGGTGGGTAACCTGCTGTACCACATCTGTACTGCAGTAACTGGTCTGTGCTGTCCTCACTCAGGATGGTATGTAACTGTTGTTAAAGCACTCTGTGATGTCAAATGTTAGTGATAACAATTCCCATGCTGCTTTTTTTATCTTTTCTGCTTGCAGTATGAATATGATTATGATGAGAATGGTGACAGGGTAGTTCTAGGGAAAGGTACTTACGGAATAGTTTATGCTGGAAGAGACCTTAGTAATCAGGTCCGAATAGCCATCAAAGAAATACCTGAAAGAGACAGCAGGTAAGTCCTATTTTATTGTTATGTGTATATTGTAATGAAACTGCAGTTGTTTGCTTAAAACTTTGTTTTTCCTAGCATGTATTTCTGTGTGATTAGTTTATAAAATCCTGGCATACCAACATTCAATTATTATTTCTGCCTAGCATTCAACAGTACCCTTTTGAGAATAAGGGCTTTTTATTTTTTTGCAAGTATATTATATATGTGATAAATAATACAGTGGTGGATCACTGGAATGGGTTGTCTGGTGGAGGAACCATCCCTGGAAACTCTTAAGGTCAGGCTTGATGGGGCTCTGAGCAATCTGTTCTAGTTGGGGATGTCCCTGCTTATGGTAGGGGGGGTTGAACTAGATGACCTTTAGAGGTCCCTTCCAACCCAAGACATTCTATGTTCTACAATAATCTATACGTATATAATAAATTCTAGAGCAAGACATTTTGGGTTTTAAATTGCTGTTGTATCCTTTTGGGGAGGGGGAAATGCATAAAAAGATTCTCAGAGCCAAAGACAGTACTATGTAAAGATACAGAAGAAAAGCATGTATGAAATCTTTCAGGGCATGTTTCTCCTTCAGGTTTCCTCTGAGATCCACCTCTGCACCTGTACTCCACCTCCACCACTCTGTACTTTTTCTGAGTAGTCAGCCAGTCGCACTGCATGTTAAGGGTCATGGACAAGATGTTTGTGGAGAATTGGATCAGCATCCCTAAAATCCATTCTGTTTGCAAACTAGCATATAAGTATGGCCTAGAACCTTTTCCTGCGTGATGAGATGCATAATAATAGATTATTTTGTTTGTTTGTTTAATAGGTATTCTCAACCTCTTCATGAAGAGATAGCGCTGCATAAATATTTAAAGCATCGGAACATTGTCCAGTATCTTGGATCTGTTTCAGAAGATGGATACATTAAGATTTTTATGGAGCAAGTGCCAGGAGGTTTGTATCATTCTGAGCTTAGTCTCTCAAAGGAATCAAAAGCAGTTAGGACTCTGAACTCAGTGAAACCCAACAGATGTGCACTTAAATGTTTGTGCATTGTATGTGGCTTTTCTGTTGAAACATCACCTACCGGTGGCATCAGAATCATGTAAAAATAGATTTGAAGTGTACAGGTCCCAGTACCCTCTCTCCTTTCTGTAATAACTATAAACCTAGACAAAAGTCATTAGAAGTATTTGGTGTCAAACACTAGTGGAGTTAAGAGTGGTATAGTCCATTTAGCATGAGCATCTGAACAATGTCTGGAGTGTTTAGGGTAAGTGTCTGTTGAGCAGTAACACTGATTGAGCAATTAAGTATTATTTTTTAATTGCTATATACAAGGCACTGCTACTTCCTCGGTAGATTAAAGATAAAGTTGTTTGCTTCCCTTGCCCATAATGCCCAGTTTTGCTCTTCTAGCCTTCTCTACAATTTAAGATGTGATTAAATCCTCCCTAGGTTACATTTGTAGCTCCCTTTTGCTGTTTGCTCTTCAGAAGACAGGAAAGAAATCAGGTTTTCTTGGAAAGGTCTGGACAGACATCCAAAGTGTGATTAAATACATCTGGGGCATAGGGAAGTCTTCCTTCCTTCCTGCCTGCCTGCCTGCCTGCCTGCCTGCCTGCCTGCCTTCCTTCCTGCCTGCCTTCCTGCCTGCCTTCCTGCCTTCCTTCCTGCCTGCCTTCCTGCCTTCCTTCCTGCCTGCCTTCCTCCCTCCCTCCCTTCTCCATCTGTCTTTTTTCCTAATGATGAGTTTATACCAACAGTTAGCCTTGCAACTTGCTGATGTTCTTTGCATACCTTTTTTTTCCTGTTCCTATATGCACGGTCGTGTGTACTGACATTACTTAATAATGTCAAGCTCTTACTGAACCAATTCAGATATTTCAAGCTCTGCAGTCTTAAAAAGGAACACCAACTGTTCAGATTATGAAGGATTTTATGAGGAAACTTAATTTAGGAAAGATATTGGTGTGGACTGGAAATCCCTTTAGCTGAATTTGTTTGGCATTAAGTACACCCACCACACTTAATTTATTGTGAGCAAACAAAGGAAAACTGTTTTTACGTTGCTTCATGATACAAATATTTGTGTTATTTTAAAAAGGATTAGATTTATTACAAGTCGGGGAAGTGTGATTGATCTGTCTCCTACTCTGAATATCCAATATTTAGTTTATTTCGGGAGCTTTTTTCCTCTGTCTCTGAATATTTCCAGAAGTTGATCCCATATTTGCAAAAAACTCTTTCCTTTTTTCTTCTCCCCTCCCACCTCAAGTAAATCAGCTTCTCTGCCCATGCATGGGGTTCATGAATGTAAAACATCACACAGTGTTACCTTTAGTCTTCATTTCATTAGAGGCTGAATGGTTACTAGTCCTAGTCTCAACAGTTGTGAGACTGAAGTGAGGCAGATGCATCCAGCCCTGTCGTAACATTTATTGCTGTCACAGAGGTGGAAGCTGAGCTGACAAGAAAGAAATAACATCAAGGGCAGCAGCAAGTCACTTGCTTTAAGGGATCTAGGAAGATTTTGGCTTCATTATAGGTACTGCATTTCTCTTGTATTAGGATATTGAGTGAAGACTTTATCCAGACTTAAATGTTTTGTGTTAATTTGTGGATTTTGCCATCTTGATACACTTCCTTCTTAACTCTTGTAGGCAGCCTCTCAGCTCTCCTAAGATCTAAGTGGGGCCCGATGAAAGAACCTACAATTAAATTTTACACCAAGCAGATTCTGGAAGGCCTTAAGTATCTCCACGAGAACCAGATTGTACACAGAGATATAAAGGTAAATTTTTGTCTAATGTGTCTTTGCTTTTATCTTTCTTCTGTTAGTTTTACTCTAATATAAAGTAGAATTTGTAATAGGATTTCATGGAAGCTTAACACAAAAGGAAAGAATAAAATAAACTCTTCTCTGTGGTGCTCCTGGAAAATTCCTTTGTAGAAAAGTATATTACAAAGATAACTGCTAACTTGAAGGAATGCTCAGATTGAGATTTGGGATCTGTACTCATCTGTCTACCCTACCTGCTCCCTCTCTCTCTCTCTCATCCAAACACAGGGGGATAATGTTTTGGTGAACACCTATAGTGGTGTGGTAAAGATATCTGATTTTGGTACATCCAAACGGCTGGCAGGAATCAATCCATGCACTGAAACATTTACAGGTAAGACTAATTTTGCAGAGCTTATAAGGGTTTTGATGATAGATATAGAGTTAGAGCCAAGAGATTCTTTGGACTTGAGGTGAAAACACGATCTTTTGTCTTTTTTTTTTTTTCCCTTATGTTTTTTCTATGTGTTTTTCATTAAGTAGCAATTGATTTGTTGAAATTACATCTGGAAACACTTGAGTACAGCAACTCTTTGATTAAATAACCTTGATATTAGCAACTCAGGCATGCACACTTTCTTGAAGTATGTCTGAAAGTGCAGAAAAGCAAACACAAACCTAGAAATACTTTCAGTTTTGAGACATTAATTATAAAACCCAGACAGCTGACTAACTTGGTGTTATCAGCAGTAAAAAAGAACAGTTTACATGAAAATGGTAGACTGGCATGTTACAGAAAAGTTTTCATGTATAATGGGGTAGTAAAAATCAGCAATATTCAGGGAAAAAAAATTTGCTGAGTAACAGCTGAAATTCCACATTCAAAAATGAATATATGGTCATACCATTACCCAATTCTTTTATCTTTCTCCACATACAGTTCTTGATAGTGGAGCTATAGGTAACATGACATTTTCACTTGTTATATGGTCACGTGCATAGGCTGCTATCACAGATCATACAGGCCTCATACTGGCAGTTTAAGTAAATGGTTCACAGCCACAGTAACAGTTGTGTGTACATAAGGGAGAAGGCACCAACATCCATTTAAGTGATAATGAGGGCTTCCAATTACCTGTCTGGTGGTGAGTCTGCAATTCATCCAGCTTCCTTACAAAGGAAGCCAATAAAACAAAAAATTTAATGTTCTACAATAACTTAGCTTTCTAAGCTTTTTAAAACTCATTCTTAGCAAAGCTCATGAATTGGAAAGTGGAGCTGTATTAGATCATTATCCATATACAGCGTATGATGTCTGCATCAATATCTCATGAGATTGCTGTCTCATCAGGTGCAGGCATTTGAAACAAATCTGTTTCAAATAGCTTTAAAGATTTTAGATAGAAACAAATTAAGTTAGGAGTCCTCTACAGAGAAGAAAAAAATAGATATTTGTCCAGTTTGGCATCATAAATGGAGCACTTGAATGTTTTGTTTAGATTGAAGAGCTACAAGAAGCTCTCTTCAGTTTATAGGTGCTGCAACAGACAAATACGTCAATGACTGTGAGTCTGAGCAGAGCTGGTTAAAGGCTGAAGCATTCCTTTAGGCAGGTGCACTGTTTTTCTAAACAAATTATTCAACAGAGATTTTTTTTCATTGATCATAATGTTTATGCATTGGATGAACAATTCTCAAATGCTTACAGGTCTCATGTGGTATCTGGAAAAGCATATTTTTGTTAGACTGGTTCGATGCAGTCACGCCCCATGGGAGAGAGATGCACTCCCAAAGGGTGTGATGATGCATCTGTTGTGCAGAAGCTGTGCTGTGCTTCTCATTTCTACAGCTTGCTGTGGAATCTTTAGTAAGTAAAGCAGTTCAGGAAGGTAAAAATGAAGTCATGGGAGATGACCCTTTGGCAGCTACTCAAACTGGTAGTCCAAAATTTGGTTTTGTCCCAGAAAGTCGCTATCAAGGCTGATCGCTGTTATGGCTGGAACAGATCATAGGGGAAGGTCACTCAGTTTTTGACTGTGTTCTACATACTCCATAGAGGATTTTTAGCAACTAATTGTTATTGGAGGTGATACACAGAGAAATAGTATCTGAAAAGAAAAAAAATCAGTGTACTGCAATAAAAGGAGGTAAATATTTAATTGTGCCTTTCTTCTTTGCTCTGTTGCACTTTTGCTGTCCTGCTTGTGCCTCAGAGATGTAATTTATCATGAGAATAAATATGTTACTTAAGATCTCGTTTTGGATTTAAAATCAGTAAGCTGGTAGCTATAGCCCAGAGGGACTTAGAGGCCCCTTTGAAATTTGTTCCTTAATTCAGTACCTAAACTCTGCAGATTTTGGACATGATTTAATACAATCACATGATTCAAGAGTCAAACTTTTAGTGGTTTTACTGTTAGATTCCTCCATTCAAGACACGCAGCCTGAGGGCAAAGCTGTAGCTTGAACTTTTGCTCTATGGCAGTCATATTTAATGAAAATAATAATATCCAATCCCTTTGATCCTCATCAGATGTCCTTTACTTAATGGTTCACAGATTTACCACAATGTAACTTTACTGCATTCTTAAGAAGAAAAACAATTCAAAGTTGTCATAACAGAGTTGGTAGGAATTCATGTGGAGAAAATACTGTAGTGTTTGAGACACTCAGAAAATCTATAGTTTTCCATTGCTGGTGGGGGATGTCTTCCAGTAAAGACCTCACGTTAACTGTGTTAATAAACAATTGAATATCAGTGAATCCAAATCTGACTGTCTTTTATTTCATTTTTACTTTTGGTTTTGCTTATCAGTACCATAACTGGTATTACAGTCAAATTGTCTACCAGCAAACTTTAGAGACATTCAAGTTCACCTGTTAACAACCAACTATAGGCTTAGGCAGAGTATTTATTTTTTTTTTGTAACCTTGGATGTCAGAAATGCCAAGCACATCCAAAAGACTTTCTGGAAGTGCAGTTTATGATGGCTTCTCTTATTTTTCTGTTCATCATGTGATTGATTTACTTTGATTATAACCTTGATAGTTTTTGTGTAAAACTTCTGATTAAAAACAAAACAAACAACAACAAAAAAAACACAACAAAAAACTTTCTCCTCTTCTATTTGCAAAAATAGCTTTTCAGAAAGTTATTTCTGAAATTCCTTGCCATTAGTGTTCTCATTATAGGGGTAAGGGTATGAAAAATTACTCTCATGAAGACTACCTGCCACTTTGCAGGTTTTCATCATCTTACAAGCATAATCTTTACAATTTAGTGTCTGCAAAAATTGATAGAATTTTAGATTCTGAAGAAGCCTTTGGATTATGTGGTGAATATACTTTTGGCAGTTTGAAGCTTCATATTATGAAGAGGGAAAAAAGCTTATAGAAAAGACGTTAAAACATAAGTTTCTGTCTATTTTTCAGTGCTTATTTTGGAAATCCAGTATCTTGGTTATACAGACAATTTGTAGGTTGCTTAGTGGTGTGTTAATTCTCTTTAACAACAATGAAGACTATAAGCCTTGACTATTCTTTTTGTCCTGACTAGGAACCTTGCAGTATATGGCTCCAGAAATAATTGATAAAGGACCACGAGGTTATGGGGCACCAGCTGACATCTGGTCACTAGGTTGTACCATTATTGAAATGGCAACAGGGAAACCCCCATTTCATGAACTAGGGGAGCCTCAAGCAGCAATGTTTAAAGTAAGCACAGCTTTTTTTGCTATAAAGTTTATGAATTTTCAAATAGTTATTTTTAAATATTCATTTAATTGGTAGTAACTTTTTGTTACATGGGTTATTTTGCATGAAGCCACAGTCTGGCCTATGTCCTTCATTCTCACTGAATGAGCCTTCTTTGCTCTAAGCTATATTGCTCCAGCAGGTAATAATTTATTTTAGTGCTGGAAATAGGTCATGACTCAGAGCAGCAACCTGAAAGTTACTGAAGACTTATGAAAATTAATATTCTCTACCCTCTTCTATCATCTCCTGCTCTTGGTGTATGATTTCCTTCTTGGCAACCAGTCTCTCCAATGATGACAACCAAGTTGTTTCTGCTCCTTTAAGTCGTTTTTGTTTGTTTGTTTTTTAATAAGCCTCCCTCCCAGAGGATCTGTTTGCCTTGTCTGTCAAAGGCCTAGTTTCTGCAACGTGGTAGGAAGCAATGGTGGAAGGGGAGCGAGAGGCTAACTTTCCAGGATCTCTGGTATATAATGAAGGAGTGAAATACTCTGAAATACTCTGTATTTTACATCCTAACTCCTTTGTATCAAAGCTACTCCCTCGATAAGCTGTTGTCTCTAATACTTTTATTTCTTTCAGTGTATCCATTTTCAAATGCACAAATTAACACTTGGGAGGATAATGCTTTGGGTAGTTTTGTTATTAAATGTATTTGAAAAAAAAATTCCTTGTTCTAACTCCTAAAATTAACAGTAGAGTAAAACCTATGATGTGATAATATGTCAAATATGCAGACTGGAAAGTTTTGGTTCTTCCACTGGCTTACAATAGACCTATAGTAATGTGCTTAAGTTTTCACTTAACTTTTAGCATCCTTATTCTTATGATGGAGAAAATACCACATCCATAACCCAGCAAACTGCTTAAATTTATCAATATTGTTAAATTTGTTGTGTATGGTGTTGAAAGTCACTGTGTGAGCATTAGTATAATTACTACTGGAACCACAGTAACAAAATCAGATCTTTACCCATCAGTATAGTGAGCTGGGCTGCAGTTCAGAATGGCATGTAACACCGTGTGCCATGCTGGGCCTGTGGGTTGTCCCACGCACCACAGCTTAAAGGCAAAGACAGGAGTGGTTATGGGGTTTGATGTAGTTATTTTAGCCGTGTAATATGTCACCTTGGTGCTGTTCATTTGTGACATGCTCCACAAAAGAAGCTGCCTGGGTGAACGTGCTTGGGTTCACTAAAGCTTTCCTGAGGGAGCCATGGAAAGAGACTTCTTTCAACATTGCTGTAAATGTCAGATGTTCTGTCGGCAGATGCCTTTTCATCTTATATATCTGGCACGTAGTTGAACTGTTCAGTGAGTTACATGTCATGTTTTTCAGCACAGTTTATTGAACTGTCAGGAAGTGCTGGTTCAGTTCTGGGTGCTTGATGAGCTCTGCACAGGCTCATGCGGTGCGCTCTGGCAGGATTGTGCATGTCTCTACGTCCTGCCCATAAGCATCTCCAGGCCACAGAAGAAATGTTTTGTGAAACCTCAGAATTGGCATTTTTAAAAATGAAATAATTTTCCTTCTTGCTTCAAGGACGTGGCAGAGATTTTTGCATGGCTATTGTAGACTGTGTTCATGTGCCAGTCAAGCATTTGGTTTTGTTTTCCGTTTCTGGGCTCTTCTGGAACCTGCTTATTACTGCTTTTTGCTGGGCACCATAAATTGCAAACTGTAGTTTCTTTTTGCTGTGTAATAAAAGGAAGCTGGGTTTGAAGCCAGGAATTAAACAGGCCAGCTGGTCAGGCATGTAAAAACAGTCATGGAAAACTTAGGATATCAAACTCTGGAGGTCCTCACCTGCACCATGCATGACAGAGGGTGTACGTGTGAAGGGAAGATCTGAGCCTGATGTGCAGTCAGTATAGTAAATGCAGTACAGTAATTGCAAGAGACCCGAGTTGGACAAAGTAGAGAAAAGGGGTCTAGAGGAAACAGAACTGGAATTAATGCCTGGCTGAGAGTACCCGGTCTGATGTAATCTATGAGCACAGAATGTGCATCTGCATGGAAGGAGTGCAGACAAATGACGCTGAATGGAGATAAAGTAAACTAATGTTGCCACAGAGTTTCAGGATGCTTGCAACAACTCTCCTTGAACCACAGAGATAAAGGTAAGATTAGAGCCATGCAGTCAGATTTCCTCGTCCTCGTTTGGGCTGTCTTGGGTTTTGTTTGGTGTGTAAGGGTGTAAGTTGGCACCACAGTGCTCTCTGCTTGTGACAGGGCCCCAGCTGAAGTGGCTGTGTGAGCCTGTCCCCAGAGGGCACAAGGAGGAGCGGGCTGGCCACTGGGACGGGCATGTCAAAAGCAGCTGTCTCAGCACAGCAAGCAGGTGGCTGTCTCCTCTCTCAGCTTCGATGCAAACAGCTTGCCAGGCTGACATTTTGAAGTGGTGAGGTTGTGTACCCTCTTCATAAAGCCCTGTCCAAAATATGCATGGGAATTACCAAATCAGACAAAGATGCTCCATCAGACAAGGTAATTGTATAGATGTTACATCCTGCTGGCAGGATACAAATATCAATTTATTGATTTATTATGTTTCTTTATTAAATGTATCCATTTAATTAGCAAGTTGCAAGTATTAAAAGTGTTACATGCAGGAAATACTGAGTTTTGAATGTGCTTAGACTCATGGTTTGGAAGGGATTCATGCCTTATTAGCATTTTATACTCTTCACTGTCATTTGAGCAGAAGCATGACTGCTCAGCATTTTTTACTTCAGCTTGCATTGAAGCTGAACCACCATTGTGAGTGCCTAATGGTGCCACAGTGTGTTAATGCAGCTGGATAATGAGATTATTTAAACAACTCTTCATTTTAGCAAGCAGCTGTCACTTGTTTAAATGCTGGATGACTATCTCCCGTGTGGCCACTGTCTTTCTGCTTGTTCTCCAGAGCCTATTTTCTATAAAGATACTGAGAATACAAGCCAGAATCTTGCCAGATACAGGCCACAAGGTGCACATGTTACACAACTCTGGCTTCACAACATTCATGCCAGATTGGAATTGGAGAATAAGGTGGCAGTCAAGAAGCTAGAAAAATCACTAGGGAGCAACCCATAGAAGCACATTTTTTGTTACTTAAAAAAAGAATGTGGAGGAATCTTGTCAAACCTTTGGGCATCATGTGATTTTCATTTAAATAACACAGGAAGGCTAGGGAAGACATCTGGCCTGAGTGCCAGGGGTGGTGACAAGGTCTGGCAAGGTCATTGTGAGTGTTCATACACAGAAATTTGGCAGTGGCAGAAGCAGAACAGGTGCAAGCCCCAGGCAGTCAGTGCTGGAGGAGGAAGTTATTCCTGTTCCTGGGCACAAATGTACTGGAGGAGTCAGCAATGGAGGAGGACAGTACTGGGCAGGAGTGATGGAAACCATATACAATAGCTGAAGGGATTTGTGGCTGATAGGTGAAGCAGCATTTGAAACTAATGTCCAGATCCCAAGATTGCCTGAGGGTAGATGGTTTGATAGATACATGCATAACTTGACATTTGTGCAACGCCACATGGCCATTCACACCATGTTTACAGTAACAGGATCAGAGCCTTGTTGTCACTTCACTGCTTTCTGTAGGCACCTGGATTGCTCCTTTTCCATGAGAGTCAGTAAGAGCGTGAGATTATTCTGAGAAAGTTTTGGTCCATGGTTGTCTGGTAGTTGTTTAGTAAAAATATTTGTGTTTTACTTGCAGGTTGGGATGTTCAAGATACATCCTGAAATTCCAGAAACACTTTCTGCTGAAACAAGGGCCTTTATTTTGCTCTGTTTTGAACCTGATCCTAGTAAACGTGTTACAGCATCTCATTTGCTCAGAGATTCCTTCCTGAAACAAGTAAACAAGGGCAAGAAAAGCAGAATTGCATTCAAGCCTTCAGGTAAGGAATTATCAGCCAAATGCAAGTCAACATCATCATTAAGCATTATATAAAAGATTGGAATAATTAAGCCCTCTCTTTTACTAAGGATGTTTCTCATGCCAGGAAAGCAGCAGGAACTCAACTGTTGAAAGTGCCTGTGATTTGTAATTAGACATATTTAAATTTAGCAATTCCCACAAAATATGGTGACCTGCTTAATTTGTGTTTTCTTATTGAAATGTCCCGACCTCATTTATCCTCTCCCCAAAAACAAATGCCTCATTTATAGTAAATTAAAATTAGAAAAATTACATTTGGTAAAGACTTTCCAAAGCAATTCTGCATTTTAGATGCTCAGTTAGATACAGTTCAGAGCCCTGAGTTTTATAGAGTAGATGTTTGTCACCTGAAAACATGGGTCTGTTAGGTGCTTGGGTCTACAAGGGACAGCATTTTCAAATCTGATATGTAATTAATTTGGAAATTCAGCACATAGGTGCTGAAGTAGCTGCTTAGCAGGTTGTTTTACTTTATCTGCCTAGCATCTTCTTCCCCACTCAACATATCAGCCACTTTCTCAGTGTAACAAATCTTAACATAGACCTGCCAAGTAAATAATTAGTATTTGAAGGAACTGTCAGTTTAAAAACAGGTAAAGTTGTTGGTCTTGCTGCCTCTTTCCCCTGTCTGCACACACACATGCACACACTCCCAAAGCAAACTGATTGGCTTCTCGAGCTCCTTCCCT